CATTTCAATTAATTTAACTCTTTCAGGGTTTCGGCCGACGAGCCAGGGTTTTTGACGTACTAGTATGCCTAAATTCTAGCGCCCTCAAATCTAGTGAGAGAAAGCTGGTAGGCCTACATATGAAAGAATGGGTCTATGTGGTCAGTGTGCGCGGTATAAAAAAAATCCTGCAGCACACAGTGCGTACTAAGAAAAAAAAAACTTTGACCGTGTTTTTGGATTAAAACAGCGACTTTGCACTGTATTTTCGTATGGTATTTATTGTTGTATTCAAGTTTTCCTGGTCTCAGTTTATAGAATGGAAGACATATTACAGAAATTGAGATGATTTTGACTGATTTTACAAAGAAAAGCACCTTGAAATTGAGCTCAAAGTAGCAGAAATGTTTGATTTTTACCAAAGTTCAAAAGTAAACACCCCTCAAGGAAGGTTCCTTGATGTTGGTGAGGGGCTCTTGATTTAGGGAATTGGATCTGTGCTCCAGTTCCCCGAATTAAGCCTGAATGCCTTCCACATCCCCCCCCCAGGCACTGTATAATCCTCCGGGTTTAGCGCTTCCCCCTTGATTATAATAATAATAATAATCAAAAGTAAACAAATCATGCTGTGTGTCCGATACACGTCAACTGGTAAGTCTAATATTCTTTCACAAGTGCACTGATGTTATTTATCCCATTTCTACACCAATGCAGTAGTCTGCATAACAGTAAATCTTCTATTTTTTTGTGAGAATAAAAATTCAAAGTGGAAAGCAAAAGAATGTAAGAGGGGCATGGGGACGTGACTAATGAACAGAGGAAATGTTATTTTAGTGCCAGGAATGTCTTTCTTGTTTATTCTGGACCCTATTTGGAAATTGGCAAATTTTTTGAAACTTTGTGAAATTGGCAAAATTGCTAAATTCTGACCACTGTATTCATGGTTACAATAATATATAAATACTGCTCGTGAGGCTAGTACACCAAACAGGGATGAGAATGAAATTAGCTTAGAAGCTCCCACACCTCAGTATGCCCTCGGATGGTGGCCCAACAGCTAGCTGTGTGCTGGCTGCGCCATTCTTGTAGGGTTGGGTGGTCCTGTGGTTTAATGCGTCATGTGGTTCTCGCCTACCATGAGGCAGGCCAGTACAACATGGGTTCGAGTCCTTGGCTAGTGCAGTGTTGTTATTGATCAATACCACTCATTCGTGGTTACAATAATATACAAGTTTGTGTAATGAATAACCCAGGATGTCATCTCACTGACTGGCTGACTTACAGTTTTACTGACTTACTGACTGACTTAATGATTGACTGACTTATTGACTGATTTACTGACTGACATAACTGACTTATTGACTCACTTACTGACTGACTTATTGACTTAAGTTAGACTTTTTCACTGAAGAGGACCTTGACAAATCTAGAGGCAGTGTTTTGAAACGGTATCTAGAGCAGCTGATGCCTTACTGCCAGCTGTATAAATGTACTGCAGGGTAAAATAGCCTAGAAATACATTACAGGAATTTATGCACACTCCAGTACACCCTTCAATTTCAGTACCACAACCACCCTCTACCACCATCACAACCACTACCACTGTCTACCACCATCACTACCACCCTCTACCACTACCACAACCACCCTCTACCACCACCACTCTTGTACTTTGCTACAATTTCTTTCTTGAATTCCATCATGATTCTCACTTTCTTTACCAAAGGAACTTTACTAGGAGCTTTCTTTGGGGCAATGGTTACTTATTTCACAGTTGCACTTAATAAATAACCACCAAAAACAATGGACTATAGCGAAATATTTGGATGAATGAGCAGAAGCTTCCTCACTTGCCCAGAGACACAGCCAGACTGAGGCGCGTGCAGCCGGCGGCCATAGCGGCGTTGGGTTGACGTGTTCCATACAGCCGATAAGCGAAATAACGGCCAATAACCGGAAGCCAAAAATATGTCTGATAACTGAGTTGGCCGATAAGCGGAAAGACTGATAACCGAGGGTCCACTGTATATACAGTGGACCCTCAGCTAATGATATTAATCCGTTCCTGAGAGATCATCATTAGACGAAATTATCGTTAGCCGAATTAATTTTCCCCTACAAAGAAAACAATGAGACATGCACAATAACTATATAAATAAATGTTAAAATGACAATTCCTTTACTGAATAGTATTGAGGAGTGATGAGACACTGTTTTTCTTAAACACTCTGGGATTTTCAGAGTGATACATGAGTAAAGGCTTCACTTTGCAATCCCCACTAGTATTACAACAAAACAAGAAAGTTAGCCTGTCTTTCATAGGCTTGAGTCCTGGGATTGCCTTTTCCTCCTGAGTAATGTAGGTCCTGTTTGGCATTTTCTTCCAGAACAGGCCTGTTTCGTCACAACTGAACACTTGTTGGGGTTGGAATTTTTCAGCTTCATCATGCCTTATCACACTGTGTATGCCACTACGATTCTTAAATCTCTGAAATCCACCTTTGTTGGCCTTAAATTCACCAATATGAGCATTAGTTCCAGGCATTTTTTTCTGTTCACCTGGGTGTTAGTCGACTGGTGTGGGTTGCAACCTGGGGGCCAAGATTAAGGACCCCAATGGAAATAAGTTAGACAATCCTCAATGACTCATTGACTTTCTTGGGTTATCCTCTGTGGCTAACCCTCTGGGATTAATTGTTTCTCGGTAACTGTTTCTCGTTAAACCACACCAACAACAGTCTCTCCATATCTTCGAGTAGTACAGCTGACGGTGGTGCAGCAACAGCTGACGGTGGTGCAGCAGCAGCTGACTGTGGTACAATAGTATTTCTCACCCTTTTTACCACAGGATTGGCACTAGAAGCTTTCTTTGGGCCTATGGTGGCTTATTTAACAGTTACAAGCACTATAAACAATGGAATAATACAAAATGTATTGAATGTATGCATGAAACCAGCTTGTAAACAATGACGGCAGGGAAGCTGAGGCGCTCAGGCTGGATGGACAGGTTCGGGACGAATCACATTGGGCGAGTTTTTTATCGTTTGCCAGGCCAAAACTTTTATGCTCAAACGCTTTGTTGGGCGGATTTAATGTTATGCGATGCGTTCGTTAGCTGAGGGTCCACTGTATGTATACACATACACACACACACACAAACTGCAATGGCCATGTCCCACCTCTCTCATGGCTCTACTGTACTTATCAGTGATGAACATTCACAGGTTATAAGAAATGGCTGCAAAGCCTCTCAGACAAATCATTCTGTTTTACTGAAAATATTGAAACCAGTCACAGGTACCACCTGTGAATGGTTTCATGAATTTTTCTACACTCAGAACTCAGTCTAGAGCTAGGTTTTTCTGGTGATTGCTTGCTCAACCAAGTTGTTACCATTGGCAGCCCTCGGGCTCACATATGCATCCAACCTGGTTCATGTTCACTGCTAATGAATCCAAATTGATTTCTTTTTAATTATGAAATAAAAACATTAATACACGCATGGGTGGGAGGTAGGAGAATGAACACTGCCCAGCAATGCCTCCACCATCCTTGTTTCTCCACCAAAAACAAAATAGTTTACTAGCAATAACTGGAGGAGGCTACAGCTAGTGAAAACAAAACTTCATTTTCTTTTGTACTGCAATGCAAAAGTATGCAGCAAGTGCAGCACTCCAAACTCCACAACTCAAGAAAATTGTCCATAGATGACCTAGGATGAGGTACATACACAGAGTACTCAGGGGAACCGACCCATTGATAAAAAAGTCATCCACGAAAGTCCTGGGATGAGATTTCATCATACACAGAGTACTCAGGGAGACCTACCCCATTAACAAGACACCCTGGCCTGCCAAGGAGCAAACTGGAAAGGTCAAATGGTGATAACACAAATGGTAGGAAAAGCTCAGCAAACGGCTAGCTTAGTCAGAATCCTGGAAGAGTAGATTTCCTACATATCGAAATGAATGGCACAGGACAACTAGTGTGGCCTAGAGCAAGGTGCCAGCTATATAGGCATCGAATGAGTAGAAGAAAGTACAGCCACTGACACAAGAATATGAATCTGACCACAAAATAGTAGTACGTGAATGAAAAGAAGCATGTCACAGACCATAGTGGTGTTTAGAAGATTAGAAGAGCAAGCACTTGGCATATTTTTTAGGAAGCCCCAGAGCCTCAATGCAACATATTCATTTACACGACATGAAACAAGAGCAGCCTTGTGGAGAATTGAAATTCCATAGTTTAAAAAATCTGACCACCCTATAGATAATTCAGACAAATACACTAGTATTGTCTGGAGTATACCTGCACAGAGTTTCAGGGGTCAATGACCCCCACGGCTCTGTCTGAGACAAGGCCTCGTAGTGGATCAGGGTCTGATCAACCAGGCTGTCAGTGCTGGCCACACAAACTGACATACAAACCATAGCCTGGCTGGTCAGGTACTGACTTTAGGTGCCTGTCCAGTGCCTTTTTGAAGACAGCCAAGGAATGGATACCTAGGTAGTAGGGTGACAGACAGCAACCACCCAGGGAGGTACTACCGTCCTGCCAAGTGATTGTGAAACGGTAACCTGTAATTGTTTTACATGATGGTAGGATTGCTGGTGACTTTTTTCTGTCTCATAAACATGTGGGATAATAGGCATATCTTGCTACTTTTACTCTAAACTACTCACACTACACATGCATGTACATGCATATATATACTTACTCATCTGGGTTTTCTTCCATTTTCTTAATAGCTCTTTATTTCCACCTATCTCCATGGGGAAGTGGAAAAGAATTCTTCCTCTGTAAGCCATCCGTGTCATTGGAGCCAACTAAAATGCTGGGAGCAAGGAGCTACTAACCCCTTCTCCTGTATAAATTACTTAATTTTGTGTTAGGTCACCTGCCTTGGTGGGATATGGCTGGTTCATTGAAAAAAAAAATGAATGAATAATAAATGACAAGGTGATGTGCTTGAAGATTATATAACTGAAATGAAACAGAAACCCTACAATGGAACTCACTCAAGATTATGCTGCACCCTTGGGTCTTGGTCACCATGTAGTCTAGCAACAGAGATGTTCTCTTCAGCAGCATCAACACCAGTAACTCTTGCTCCCAGTCTTGCTAGAGGCTGCAATACAGTCTTATATGAAGGGTATATTTGCAGATACAGTAATGAAAACAAAAATATCGTCCACCATGTATTAAGTTCATCATTACATTATTTCTTCTCAATGTCACCCCTCTAGTATCTACTTAACAATCACTGCCCCTTATGAGTCTTATGTGTGTTAATTACCCTACTTCAGCTAAAAACCATGTTAGAGGAAATATGTATACAGTGGAACCTCTACTTGCGAGCGTGTCCACATGCGAGTTTTTCCAAATACGAGCAGTTGATGGGTCGATTTTTTGCTTCCATACGCGAGCAGACCTCAAGGCAGGTTCCTTGACACTGGTGAGGGGCTCTTGCTCTTGATCTCGGGAATTGTATCTCATTTGTTTGTTGGACTATCTTATTGAAACTTGGGTAATGTATGATGGAAAGATGCTTCTTAACGTACACCAAAACCGAAAGAAATCTAAGCATAAATAATGGAGTTCACTTCTCAGCAATTCGCCACCCCTAAGCAGTAATTTCGAATGGTTTTTATGGTTGTATTCTCGTTTTTTGGTCTCATTTGATAGAATGAAGATATATTACAGAAATAGACATGATTTTAATTGCTTTCACGACAAAAAGTACCTTGAAATAGAGCTCAACCTAGGAAAAATGGTCCATTGCTTGGCTGTTTCACAGTAAACAAATGTCCATTCCAATATGCAGTCATGAATGGGTTGACATTATTTATACAATTATTGCAATAAGGAATAACAGTAAAGCTTATATTTTTTGTGTGAATAAAAATTTACAAATTATTCATATACAGTGGACCCTCAACCAGCGATGTTAATCCGTTCCTGAGAGCTCATCGTTAATCGAAATTATCGTTAGTCGAGTTATTTTTCCCCATAAGAAATAATGGAAATCAAATTAATCCGTGCAAGAAACCCAAAAGTATTGAAAAAAAAAATTTACCACATGAAATATTAATTTTAATACACACAAACTGAAGAAGACATGCACAGTTACATGACACTTACCTTTGTTGAAGATCTGGTGATGATTGATGGGATGGGAGGAGGGGAGAGTGTTGATGGTGTTAGTGTTTAGAAGGGGAATCCCCTTCCATTAGGACTTGAGGTGGCAAGTCCTTTTTCGGGGTTACTTCCCTTCTTCTTTTAATGCCACTAGGACCAGCTTGAGAGTCACTGGACCTCTGTTGCACAACATATCTGTCCATAGAGGCCTGTACCTCCCGTTCCTTTATGACATTCCTAAAGTGTTTCACAACATTGTCAGTGTCACAATTAAACACTTGTTCAGGTTTCAATTCTTCACTGTCTATGTACTTCTTGAATTCCTGCACATATTTTTCAGCTACTTTTTGGTCCAAACTGGCAGCCTCACCATGCCTTATCACACTATGTATGCCAGTATGATTCTTAAATCTCTCAAACCAACCTTTGCTGGCCTTAAATTCACTCACATCACCACTAGTTGCTGGCATTTTTCTAATTAAATCCTCATGCAACTTCCTAGCCTTTTCACATATGATCGCTTGAGAGATGCTATCTCCTGCTATCTGTTTTTCGTTTATCCACACCAATAACAGTCTCTCAACATCTTCTATCACTTGCGATCTCAGTTTCGAAAACATAGTTGCACCTTTGGCAAGAACAGCTTCCTTGATTGCCGTTTTCTTGGCCACAATAGTAGCGATGGTTGATTGGGGTTTTGTGTACAACCTGGCCAGCTCGGAGACACGCACTCCACTTTCATACTTAGCAATGATCTCTTTCTTCATATCCATAGTAATTCTCACCCTTTTTGCTGTAGGGTTGGCACTAGAAGCTTTCTTGGGGCCCATGGTGACTTATTTTGCAGGTGCAATCACTAAAAAGGCTGTGATAATATGAAATGTTCCGATTGTATGCTTGGAAGTGACCGCGGTGGCTGGCTGGCTTGTAAACACTGGCCAGAAGTGGACGCGTCTCAGACGGAACGAATAGTGTTGGTCGAGTTTTTTAGCACTAGTCGAGGCAAAATTTTTGCATTAAAATGTATCGCTGGTCGGATTTATCGTTAATCGATGCCATCGTTGGTCGAGGGTCCACTGTAATAATAATAATAATAATATGTATAATAATACATATAATAATAATAGTATAATACAATAATAATAATAATAATAATAATAATAACAATAATATGTATAATAATAATACATAATAATTATGTACTACATATAATAATTATAATAATAGACAGCTTCAAAAGGCCATCACTAGATGGCAGTGTTTACCACAACAAAAAGGGAGCAGTTGTAGCCGCCTCCACCTGTTACATAATGACATATTTTATTCATTCTAGAATATATATCATGTTTCTATGTTATTTTTATTGTTTGTTATGTCATACTAGATGAACTGTGATAGATAAATAATCCATACAGATGATATTAGCTAAATTATTCATGAAGTATTTTGCCCGGTTTCCAGACAATCGCCCACCGCCGACACCGCCCATAGCACTACATGAATGACATATTTTATTCATTTTAGAGTATATATCAGGTTTGTATGCTATTTATATTGTTTATTATGTCATATTAGATGAAGTGAGATAGATAAATAAGCATTAGAGTTGATATTAGCGAAATTATTGAAGTACAGAATTCCACTGGAACGGATTAATTGCATTTCAGTTAATTTAAATGAGAAAAATTGACTCTGAAAACGAGCAAATCCAGTTGCGAGCAAGGTCATGGAATGGATTAAACTCGCAAGTAGAGGTTCCACTGTATTCACTGTCATTCATTCAATCTGTTCTGTCAGAACTAACCAGTATTATAATGGTACTTAGTGAAGTGGAGTGACTTTCATTAGTTTCTTTTTCTTGAAATACCAGACGTTACTGTGAATTTCATATAACCTGTAGTTACCAGCGGTCGCAATATACACAACGAGAAGCAATTATTACTACAGAAAAAGCGCCCTTCCTCCAAAATTTGCACCAGTCAACTATAGTGATAATATAGCATTTATTGTGGTGGAGACGAAAAAAAAAAATAGAGAAGCTAGATACAGCGATTGATAAACAAAGGTGGAGGCTCGACCGTTCGTCATTGTAGGAGTGCCAGCAGTCACCGGCTCTTCAACACGCAAGTTATACTTTTGTATCAATCAAATCACATATTACTCGGGTAGATAATTTCCAGTAGATCCTTCATGTGTTAGCTCAAATCACCGACCAGTATGGTTTAAATAAGTGACCCACTGATCAGATCAGATAGACTGGTCCGAACCCTTGACTGGTCCGAACCCTTGACTGGTCCGAACCCTTGACTGGTCCGAACCTGGACTGGTTTCAAACGGTGTTCGTTGTGCACCACCTAGCAGGTTATTAATAGAATATTCAAGAGGTTGCTAGTAGAATTGCAGTAAATAAACCATTCAAATCATTATGAAGCTGTGTGTAGTCTGTGGTCAGTCAAACAAACGGGCTTCCACATGCATAAATTGTCATTTCTGTGGAAATTGGTGTCACGCCCCTTGTGCAGATATCCAAGAACTAGCTACAAGCAGTATTAAAACAGGGAAGTGTTTTTGGGTATGCCCAAATGAGATAAATCTGTGGACTAAAATCACAAGGGTATTAAAAGAGGTCAACATCAAAGCTGCTTTCATAGAAAACCTGGAAGCTTTCTACAACAGATGGGAACATAAAAAGTCCGGGCTGAATGGTACTGCCCTTGATACTGGCCATGTAGTCAGAAACTGTAAGGCTGGAGATGATGTCCTGGTAGTCAGTAAATGGGGGGCTGATAGTGCTGTCCTGGGAGACAGTAATGGGGAAGCTGGAGGTGCTGTCCTGGGAGACAGTAATGGTGAAGCTGGAGGTGCTGTCCTGGGAGACAGTAATGGTGAAGCTGGAGATGCTGTCCTGGGAGACAGTAATGGGGAAGCTGGAGATGCTGTCCTGGGAGACAGTAATGGTGAAGCTGGAGATTTTGTCCAGGTAGTCGGGAATTATACGCAAGAAGGAATACATATGAATGACCGCATAGGGGACAGGAGCCATAGTAGGGAAACAAGTGTAGTCAAAGATAAGATAAAACCAATATTGCAAACTAGAAATACCGCAGGAAATAGCAAACAAGAGGACTCCACTAGCAATAGTGAGGATATATTACCAAAAACAAATGGTGGGAGCTCCATTGTTGGTGCTAGGGAGGATAGAAGTAAGACAGGGAAACATGCACCAACAGGGAATACAGTCACAGAAACCCAAGGCAAACGGAAACCAAGCCTGTGCACATACTATGCACTCGGTATCTGCTGGCATGGGAAATCTGGAAAAAACAGATGGGACGTGCAACTATGACCACCCTAGGAAATGCCATGCCCATATGACAACAGGAAAATGCAAACTCCCTTCCTGTAAGCTTTTCACCCTGAACTGTGTACCTCTTCAGTACAGGAAAGACTGTGCTATAACTTAAATTGCCAGGCATACCATCTAAAGGGGACAAAAAGATACAAAACATCCAGGCCATGGGAAAACCTGGGTAGCCACAGCCACTCAAGAGGGAGAGGTTTTTTAGTGCAGGAAGGAAAAAAAAACTGGCAGGAAATGGCAGAAATCGTACACCAAATCCAGTCATTCCTGGAGTGGAACCACAGTCGATGGCCTCCACTCCAAACCAACAGATACAGATACTAATGCCGGAAAAAAAATCCCCCCCAGTACCAACAAACCACCAGTCCGATAACATTCTTCTTTGCAAATATACAGGTCTAAAGCCAGCAACAAACAACAAAATACCTTTCATCGTGGACTGCTTGCAGAGGCAAAGGCAATGTTCGCGGCTTTCACTGAGACCCACATGAAAGGATCACTTGGACAACGAAATATGGATCCAGGTTACAACCTATACAGATGTGACAGATGTGAACAGGCAAAAGGGGGGGGGGTTGGCCTGTACATTGCAGAGTCACTTGTTTGCACAGAACTGCTAAAATGCCTCAAATGATGTAGTGGAAGTTTTAGCAGTAAAGGTCGAGAACCAAACCTAGTCATTGTGATAGTCTACAAGCCTCCGGATGCAACATCCCAGCAATTCCAGGAACAGCTGTTAAAAATTGACCACTGTCTGGAAAACCTTCCAGCTCCTGCACCCAACATCTTGCTCCTGGGGGATTTCAACTTAAGGCACCTAAAATGGAGGAATATAGCAAATAATATTGTTGCAGTAATAACACCAGGAGGCAGCTCTGATGAAAACTCACACTCACGCGAGCTTTTAAATCTCTGCACAAAATTCAATTTAAACCAGCAAATAATAGAGCCTACTAGACTGGAGAATACACTAGACCTCATCTTCACTAACAATGATGATCTGATAAGAAATATCACCATATCAAAAACAATATACTCAGATCACAACATAATTGAGGTTCAGTCATGTATGCGCGGAGCCCCAGACCGACATAATGAGATTAGTCACGAGGGAGCATTCACCAAATTCAACTTCAATAACAAAAACATAAAGTGGGACCAAGTAAACCAAGTCCTAACCGATATAAGCTGGGAAGATATACTAAGCAACACAGACCCCAACTTATGCCTAGAACAGATTAACTCGGTAGCACTCGATGTATGCACAAGGCTTATTCCTCTAAGAAAAAGGAGGAGTAGATGTAAAACAGAAAGAGACAGGCGCTCCCTTTACAGGCGACGGAAAAGAATAACAGAGCGGCTAAAAGAGGTCAATATATCTGAAATGCGTAGGGAGACACTGGTCAGAGAAATAGCAAGCATCGAACTTAAGCTAAAAGAATCCTTTAGGAGTCAGGAATCGCGGGAAGAACTAAAAGCCATAAATGAAATCGAAAGAAACCCAAAGTATTTCTTCTCCTATGCCAAATCAAAATCGAGAACAACGTCCAGTATTGGGCCCCTACTTAAACAAGATGGGTCCTACACAGATGACAACAAGGAAATGAGTGAGCTACTCAAGTCCCAATATGACTCAGTTTTTAGCAAGCCGCTAACCAGACTGAGAGTCGAAGATCAAAATGAATTTTTTATGAGAGAGCCACAAAATTTGATTAACACAAGCCTATCCGATGTTATCCTGACGCCAAATGACTTCGAACAGGCGATAAATGACATGCCCATGCACTCTGCCCAGGGCCAGACTCATGGAACTCTGTGTTCATCAAGAACTGCAAGAAGCCCCTATCACGAGCCTTTTCCATCCTATGGAGAGGGAGCATGGACACGGGGGTCGTCCCACAGTTACTAAAAACAACAGACATAGCCCCACTCCACAAAGGGGGCAGTAAAGCAACAGCAAAGAACTACAGACCAATAGCACTAACATCCCATATCATAAAAATCTTTGAAAGGGTCCTAAGAAGCAAGATCACCCCGCATCTAGAAACCCATCAGTTACACAACCCCGGGCAAACATGGGTTTAGAACAGGTCGCTCCTGTCTGTCTCAACTATTGGACCACTACGACAAGGTCCTAAATGCACTAGAAGACAAAAAGAATGCAGATGTAATATATACAGACTTTGCAAAAGCCTTCGACAAGTGTGACCATGGCGTAATAGCGCACAAAATGCGTGCTAAAGGAATAACAGGAAAAGTCGGTCGATGGATCTATAATTTCCTCACTAACAGAAACACAGAGAGTAGTCGTCACAGAGTAAAGTCCGAGGCAGCTACGGTGAAAAGCTCTGTTCACAAGGCACAGTACTCGCTCCCATCTTGTTCCTCATCCTTATATCGACTAGACAAGGATGTCAGCCACTGCACCGTGTCTTCCTTTGCAGATGACACCCGAATCTGCATGACAGTGTCTTCCATTGCAGACACTGCAAAGCTCCAGGCAGACATCAACCAAATCTTTCAGTGGGCTGCAGAAAACAATATGAAGTTCAACGATGAGAAATTTCAATTACTCAGATATGGTAAACATGAGGAAATTAAATCTTCATCAGAGTACAAAACAAATTCTGGCCACAAAATAGAGCGAAACACCAACGTCAAAGACCTGGGAGTGATCATGTCGGAGGATCTCACCTTCAAGGACCATAACATTGTATCAATCGCATCTGCTAGAAAAATGACAGGATGGATAATGAGAACCTTCAAAACTAGGGAGGCCAAGCCCATGATGACACTCTTCAGGTCACTTGTTTTTATCTAGGCTGGAATATTGCTGCACACTAACAGCACCTTTCAAGGCAGGTGAAATTGCCGACTAGAAAATGTACAGAGAACTTTCACGGCGCGCATAACGGAGATAAAACACCTCAATTATTGGGAGCGCTTGAGGTTCCTAAACCTGTATTCCCTGGAACGCAGGAAGGGAGAGATACATGATTATATACACCTGGAAAATCCTAGAGGGACTAGTACCGAACTTGCACACGAAAATCACCCACTACGAAAGCAAAAGACTTGGCAGACGATGCACCATCCCCCCAATGAAAAGCAGGGGTGTCACTAGCACGTTAAGAGACCATACAATAAGTGTCAGGGGCCCGAGACTGTTCAACTGCCTCCCAGCACACATAAGGGGGATTACCAACAGACCCCTGGCAGTCTTCAAGCTGGCACTGGACAAGCACCTAAAGTTAGTTCCGGATCAGCCGGGCTGTGGCTCGTATGTTGGTTTGCGTGCAGCCAGCAGCAACAGCCTGGTTGATCAGGCTCTGATCCACCAGGAGGCCTGATCTCAGACCGGGCCGCGGGGGCGTTGACCCCCGGAACTCTCTCCAGGTAAACTCCAGAAGCATACTGACATCAGAGGTATATGACCCTCATAACAGCAACATCCCTTTTACTCCTGTAGATACAGGTACTGTACCTCACACCTCCAGGACTCACATCCAACCACCTGGTTTCCAGGAGTCTCTTCATAAATGTTGCCTTGGTCACGCCAGAACCACTTCAGTTATAACACCTTCAATCCTAGATTTATAAATCCTCTTAAGTCATCCCATTGTGCTCTATCCTCTCTAAATACTGAAATTGCCTCAGCCTTCTGAATTATATTTTTAACCCTTTGACTGTTTCAGCCGTATATATACGTCTTACGAGCCAGTGTTTCGGACGTGTATGTACTCAATAATTCTAGCGGTTTCAAATCAAGCAGGAGAAAGCTGGTAGGCCCACATGTGAAAGAATGGGTCTGTGTGGTCAGTGTGCACTGTATAAAAAAATCCTGCAGTACGCAGTGCATGAGAAAAAAATAAATTCCGACTGTGTTTTTGGATTAAAATGCCAACTTTGAGGTGTATTTTCATATAGTATTTATGGGTGTATTCTCGTTTTCTTGGCCTCATTTGATAGAATGGAAAACATATTACAGAAGTAGAAGTGATTTGATTAGTTTCACGATGAAAACGACCTTCAAATTGAGCTCAAATTACCGGAAATGTCAGATTTTTACCGGTGTTCAAGAGTAAGCAAATCACACCACACGTCCAATACACGTCAACTGGGAAGTCTAATATTCTTTCACTAGTGCACTGATATTATTTATACCATTTTCTACAATAATGCAGTAGTTTGCATAACAGTAAATCTTTTATTTTTTGTGTGAATAAAAAATCAAAATAGAAAGCAAGAATAATATAAGAGGAGCCTGGAGACATGATTAATGAACAGAGGATATGTTATTTTAGTGACAAAAATGTCTGGATTGTTTATTTTGGACCCTATTTTGAAATTGGCATCTTTTTTAATTTGTATGAAATTGGCCAAATTGCCAATTTCTGACCACTTTATTGGGTAGTTGAAATTGGTATATGGGCAGTTTCTTGTACTAAATTGATATAAAAAATGGAGTCCTAAAGAAATAGCTATGAGTTTGGTCGACTGGAACAATGGAATTGGCCAAAAATGGGGCTCAAAGTTGGCGAAATTGCCAATGCGTATATATCGCCGAGATCGCTAACTTCGCTGGAGCGTAATTCCGTAAGTTTTTTTTATCAAATTTTGTACTTTTGGTGTCATTACCATCGGAAAAAGATTCTCTCTCATTTCATAAGAAAAAAATAATTTTTTTTTTCCAAAATTTTGCGACATAGAATGACAGTTTCAGAAACAGGCTTGTGACAGTCAGAAGGTTAATCCCCACACCTTCTTCTAATTTCTGTGCTCCAGATCCTGTCTAAAATACTCACACCACACATCACCTTCAAATATGACATCTCCACTGCCCCCAACCTCCTCGCTGCACTGTTTAAAATTCATACTGAATAATCACGTAAGTGTTGTACCACTATACTCTGGTACATTCCCCTTTTTGCCTCAGTGAAGTTCATTGTTTCTAAAGCTGTCACAGCATTGTCACCTATTTTTTGGTCTACAGTAAACAACATACTAGTGATGATCAGCAGTTTGGATATCGCTTAGTCATAGGCATTCTAAAAGTACTAATATTATATGTACTGCATGCTAGTTTATTTATCTTAACATCTCCCCTAATGCCTCTCCCAAACATTCATTATCCATTCAACACACTATGTGCAGTGTTTTTATTCAATGAAATTTATATCATCCCAATAATAGCTTTTTTTAAAGTTTCTTACCTCACACAAAATTCCTCCACCACATCCTACATCAAGAATCTTCAATCCTGTTAATGGTCTGGGGCCATCAACATATTCTGGCTTTGCAACACCTGACTGCACCAAACCTTCCCGAATCATGGACACCCTTTAATTAAATATAAAATGGCATATTACAAACTAAATAATTATCTAATATTCAGAACATGAACAGTTGATTTACTAGAAGGCAGACCATAATCAAAGAAATAGAGTACTATATATACAATATTACTTTTAACATTAATGTAACTAATGCAACACTGTGTCTTTCTTTCTTTTTTCTTTCAACACACCGGCCGTATCCCACCGAGGCAGGGTGGCCCAAAAGGAAAAACGAAAGTTTCTCCTTTTACATTTAGTAATATATACAGGAGAAGGGGTTACTAGCCCCTTGCTCCCGGCATTTTAGTCGCCTCTTACAACACGCATGACTTACGGAGGAAGAATTCTGTTCCACTTCCCCATGGAGGTAAGAGGAAATAAACAAGAACAAGAACTAGAAAGAAAATAGAAGAAAACCCAAAGGGGTGTGTATATATATACTTGTACATGTATGTGTAGTGTGACCTAAGTGTAAGTAGAAGTAGCAAGACATACCTGAAATCTTGCATGTGTATGAGACAGAAGAAAAAACGACACCAGCAATCCTACCATCGTGTAAAACAATTACAGGCTTCAGTTTTACATTCACTTGGCAGGACGGTAGTACCTCCCTGGGCGGTTGCTGTCTACCAACCTACTACCTAGAGCAACACTGTATATTACTATTAATTTATATATACAGTCCTTATACAGTACAGCTTACAATTTTTTTTTTTACCTTAATCCATTAAGAGAATGTAATGGTTTAAAATCTCCATATGGATCCCACCATGAGTCTGCCATCGCTCGAAATTTTGCCACTTCTTCCTCTATACACGTAGATTTTGATTTACTGCCATTATTGCTGTTCTCATCTGAACTGGAGCTGCTGTTGGATTCCTCTGGTTCTGAAGTATTTGACATCTTAACAGTATATGGGTAACTGGTAGTTGTAGTAGTAGTACCAGCTGAATTTGCAGAATACCTTCTTGATATATTTTGAAAGTTGGTTGTTCCTGGTGCCTGCCCTCTGACATTGCTACTGCTGATGACCCAAAACAAATAATGTATGTTAATTATGTAGAATTATTAATAGAGATAATTATTACTTTTTTCCACAGTTTAACCCTCTGACTGTTTTGGTTGTATACATATGTCTTATGAGCCGTGTTTGACGTATATACAGTGGACCCCCAGTATTCGATGGCATCGGTATTCGATAAATCCAGTATTCGATGCATTATATCGCAAAAATTTTGCCTCGGTATCCGATCGAAAACCCAGTATTTGATACGATTCGTACGAGACGTGTCCACATGTGGCCTGAACTGCCCCGTGTGTGCCAGTGTTTACAAGCCAGCCAGTGTGCGCGCATCTAAGGATACATTCGGTACATTCCATATTATCCATATTATCACTGTTTTTGGTGCTTGTTTCTGCAAAATAAGTCACCATGGGCCCCAAGAAAGCTTCTAGTGCCAACCCTGTGTAAAAAGGGTGAGAATTAGTATGGAAATTAAGAAAGATTTTGAAGGGTTTGGGGCTAACCCTGAGAAGCCAGTTGTGGAATCTATTGTGCCTACTTCAAAGATTAAGGAAATGTGTGCAAAGTGGGTTGAACTGCAAACCTTTATGGATGAAAATCACCCTAAAACAGCTATTGCAAGCCGTGCTGGTAACTATTACAGTGACAATGTTGTGGCCCATTTTAGACAAATCTTAAAGGAACGGGAGGTACAGGCCACTATGGACAGATATGTTGTGTGACAGAAATCCAGTGACTCTCAAGCTGGTCCTAGTGGCATTAAAAGAAGAAGGGAAGTAACCCCAGAAAAGAACTTGCTACCTCAAGTCCTAATGGAAGGGGATTCCCCTTCTAAACACTAACACCTCTCCCCTCCTCCCATCCCATCAATCATCACCAAATCTTCATTAAAGGTAAGTGTCAATTATTTTACTGTTATTGTAATTACACCTACCATCCGACTTACGACCTGCTCGACTTACGACCACTCGACTTACGACCGTGTTTTTTATGCCAAATTTCTGGGAAATAAACAATTATGTGTGTTGTACACAGTGTTTATCCTAAACCTTACAGTATAAAATACAGTACTAACAGCATAAATAGTAAAGCAAAACATAAATACCAAAATAAAACAATAAAATAAAGTCATTACAAAAACGTTTTGTTGATATTCAGTAGTAAAGTTCGACTTACGACCATTTCGACTTACGACCGGTTTCTCGGAAACGAACTTAGTCGTAAGTCGGATGGTAGGTGTATTCTATTGCATTAAACTTAATATTTCATGTAGTAAATTTTTTTTTTTCATACTTTTGGGTGTCTTGCACGGATTAATTTGATTCCCATTATTTCTTACGAGGAAAACTGATTTGCTTTTCGATATTTTCAGTATTCGATGAGCTCTCAGGAACGGATTAATATCGAATACCGGGGGTCCACTGTATGCTCAAAGATTCTAGCGGCTTCAAATCAAGAAGGAGAAAGCTGGTAGGCCCACATGTGAGAGAATGGGTCTGTGTGGTCAGTGTGCGCAGTATAAAAAAAATCCTGCAGCACGCAGTACACAACGAGAGAAAAAAATCTCCAATCGTGTTTTTGGATTAAAACGCCGACTTTGAGGTGTATTTTCGTATAGTATTTATGGTTGTATTCTTGTTTTCTTGGTTTTGTTTGATAGAATGGATAACATATTATACAAATAGAAGTGATTTTGATTGGTTTTACTATGAAAAGGATCTTGAAATGGAGCTCAAAGTGGCAGAAATGTTCGATTTTTGCCGATGTTCAAGAGTAAACAAGTGACATTATTGTCCAATAAATGTCCAACTAGCCATTTTAATATGCCGTCACGAATGGGTTGACATTATTTATACAATTATGTATTACAATATTGCAGTAGTCTACAAAACAGTAAATCTATTTTTTGTGTGAATAAAAATTCAAAATAGAAAGCAAGAGGAATATAACAGGGGCCTGAAAACATGAATGATGAGCAGAGAAAATGTATTTTAGTGCCAGGAATGTTTGCATTGTTCATTCTCAACCCTATTTTGAAAACTGACATATTTTTTAATTTGCATGAAATTGTCCAAATTGCCAATTTCTGACCACTTTATTGGGAAGTTGAAATCAGTAAATGGGCGGTTTCTTGTACTCAATCGATAGAACAAATGGAGTTTTAAAGAAATAGCTACAAGTTTGGTGGACTGGAACAATGGAATTGACTGAAAATAGGGCTCAAAATGGGCAAAATTGCAGATACGTAAATGTCACCGAGATCATTAACTTCGTGAGAGCGTAATTCCATAAGTTTTCCATCAAATTTCATAATTTTGGTATCATTACCATCCAGAAACGATTCTCTATCATTTCAAAAGAATTTTTTTTTTTTTTCAAATATTTTGTGACACTAGGAGACACCTCAGGATTTGGGATTGTGACAGTCAAATGGTTAATAAAATTATGAAAATTTTATCAATATCAATTAAAACTGTTGCAATATTAACATAGTCTATGACAATGACAATGATATTAAATAAATATACAGGTATACCAGAAATATTGTCTATGTACCTACCAGTAATTCAAAAACTTGATTTTAAATATTTAACTGAAAGAATGAAAATACTGTACCATATAATTAACTTTTACCTCATTCATAACAAGAATGTTACTAGAAATGTCATATTACTGCAGCCAATGATACAGCATACATTTTTTTTTTTTTCAGTAGGACTGAAATATTTATAGTTTAAACATGAAATGTTAAAGCAGTTTTTGTTTCTTATCCTCTTTATCAATTTTGGAAATGGAGATACTGTTGAGGTAATAGACAGAATGAGGAGAAATTCCAAACATATAAAACCTACCGAAACAACCTCAAAGCTTGAAACTGAACGAGAGAGTCCAGTGAGCTGTGCAGACCCCTCATAGTGTTGACTACTAATACATTTAGCATCATTACCACTTATAGGATGCTCATACAATATACAACAGTCTGTGAAATAAAGTAAGCTGAGTTAACAGAAAAATATTTTTGTCATTTAAGCATCAAAATCCAAAAGCATACATAAGTAAGCTATTTACCCATAACACATACAGCACCAAGCCCATGTTTACAGTGTCCCTTTACATTAACCCTTTGACTGTCGCGGCCGTATATATACGTTTACGAGGTACCGTGTTTGACGTACATATACTCATAAATTAGCGGCTTCAAATCAGGCAGGAGAAAGCTGGTAGGCCCACATGTGAGAGAATGGGCCTATGTGGTCAGTGTGCACCATATAAAAAAAATCCTGGAGCACGCAGTGCATAATGAGAAAAAAAAAACTCCGACCATTTTTTTTAATTAAAATGCCGACTTTGTGGTCTATTTTCGTATAGTATTTGTGGTTGTATTCTCATTTTCTTGGTCTCATTTGATAGAATGGAAACTATATTATAGAAATAGGGGTGATATTGATTAATTTTACTATAAAAATAACCTGGAAATGGAGCACAAAGTACGGGAAATGTTTGATTTTTGCCTATGTGCAAAAGTAAACAAATGATGTCATTGTCCAATAAATGTCCAAATAGCCATTCTAATATGCAGTCATGAATGAGTTGATGTAATTTTTACAATTATTACAGTATTGCAGTAGTCTGCATAACAGTAAATCTTCTATTTTTTGTTTGAATAAAATTTCAAAATAAAAAGCAAGAGTAATATCACAGGGGCCTGGAGACATGACTGATGAACAAAGAAAATGTAATTTTAGAGCCAGGAATGTCTGCATTGTTCATTTTGGTCCTTATTTTGAAATTGTCGTATTTTTTAATTTTCGTGAAATTGGCCAAATTGCAAATTTCTGACCATGTTATTGGGTAGTTGAAATCGATAAATGGTCAGTTTCTTGTACTCAATCGATGGAAAAAATGGAGTTCTGAAGAAATAGCTATGAGTTTGGTTGACTGAAATAATGGAATTAGCCGAAAATAGGGCTCAAAGTGGGCGAAATCGCCGATTTGTAAATATCGCCCGAGGTCGCTAACTTCGCGAGAGCATAATTCCGTCAGGTTTCCATCAAATTTCGTTTTTTTGGTGTCTTTACAATCAGGAAAAGATTCTCTATCATTTCAAAAGAAAAATTTTTTTTTTTTTAAATTTTGCGACACCAGGAGACACCTCAGGATTGGGGGTTGCGACAGTCAAAGGGTTAAATTCTGATCTGAAAAAACTATTAATAAGAAGAATATAACAATACTTAAAATTAAAATATAGACTACTCTTCATGCTGCACTGATACTACTACTCCAGGTCAACAACAACAACAACAACAGCAGCAGCAGCAGCAGCAGCAGCAGCAGCAGCAGCAGCAGCAGCAGCAGCAGCAGCAGCAGCAGCAGCAGCAGCAGCAGCAGCAGCAGCAGCAGCAGCAGCAGCAGCAGCAGCAGCAGCAGCAGCAGCAGCAGCAGCAGCAGCAGCAGCACAGCGCAGCAGCAGCAGCAGCAGCAGCAGCAGCGCAGCAGCAGCAGCAGCAGCAGCAGCAGCAGCAGCAGCAGCAGCAGCAGCAGCAGCAGCAGCCAGGCAGCCAGCAGCGCAGCACAGCAGCAGCAGCAAGCAGCAGCAGCAGCAGCAGCAGCAGAGCAGCAGCAGCAGCAGCAGCAGCAGCAGCAGCAGCAGCAGCAGCAGCAGCAGCAGCAGCAGCAGCGCACAGCAGCAGCAGCAGCAGCAGCAGCAGCAGCAGCAGCAGCAGCAGCAGCAGCAGCAGCCAGCAGCAGCAGCAGCAGCAGCAGCAGCAGCAGCAGCAGCAGCAGCAGCAGCAGCAGCAGCAGCAGCAGCAGCAGCAGCAGCAGCAGCAGCAGCAGCAGCAGCAGCAGCAGCAGCAGCACAACAACAACAAACAACAACAACAAACAACAACAACAACAACAACTACTACTACTACTACTATTACTACTACTATTACTACTACCACTTACTACTACCACTACTACTACCACTACTACTACTACTATTACTACTATTACTACTACTATTACTACTACTATTACTACTACTATTACTACTACTATTACTACTATTACTACTATTACTACTACTATTACTACTACTATTACTACTACTATTACTACTACTACTACTACAATTTATTTATTTATTAATTTGAACATGATACAGAGAAGTACAAGGAATACAATTTTTATAGTCACTACAAATCTTATGATTACAAGCATTGATCCTGATACCAACCTCTTATTTAATGACTTAAATGATTCAAACAGTTACTGTAATTAATACACAGCAGAACAATCAAAGGCACTTCTCAGAGCCAACAACAACATAACTATCTTTAACTACAATATCAGATCTTCAAGCAAGCATTACGATGACCTCCTAGCATTACTAAATTCCTTGCATGCCAATATGTCCATCATTACACTAACTGAAACCTGGCTAAAGCCTGATACTACAGATGTCTATGCCATTCCTGGTTACACAGCCATACACAACTGTAGGCCAGACCAACAAGGGGGTGGCACAGCTATATACTACTCAGACCAACTAGATTGTATCACTAATACTTGCACAAGGGATGAACATGGGGAATATATAATAGATAAATTCAAATCCAAATACCTACAAAAACCTCTCACAATGATAAACATCTACAGAGTTCCACAATCAAACATTAGCCAATTTAGTCAAAACCTAGGAAGTATGATAACTGATGCACGCATGAACAAAGATCACTTACTACTCTCAGGTGACTTCAATATAAATCTCCTGCAAGACCAGGACCCACACGTTACTGAATTCACAAACACAATGAGTAACTGCATGTTGCTACCAACAGTAACAAAACCTACAAGAGTTATGGAGACTAGTGTTTCCCTACTTGACCACATCTGGACCAACACCATATCCCTTTTAAAATCAGGCATAATTACAGATAATACCACAGACCACTACCCTACTTTCCTCATAACAACTCTTGGTAAAATACCCCAAGACACTACTAAAGTCACCTTCAGACTTCACAATGAGGCAGCCATTAATAACTTCACAACAGCAGTAACAAACATTGACTGGCTCACTGAGCTAGAAATCTATACAGATATTGACGAATGTTTTAATAATTTTCTAAAAAAGACCCAATACCTCTATAACAAGCAAAGCCCTAAAAAAACTAAACAGATGACAGCTAAGAGACTGAACAGTCCCTGGCTAACACCCAGCATTCTCAAATCCATAAATACAAAACACCGATATGAAAAACAGTACAGAATGGGTCACATAACCAGAGACCAAACAAAACGTTACTCGTCAATCCTAACCAGCCTGATAAGAAGGGCAAAAAAACTGTATTATGAGAACAGATTATCCAACTTACGAGGTGATATAAAAAAGACCTGGAAGACCCTATCAGAAATTCTGGGAACAAAAAAGATATCACGAAATAGCGAAATAAAATTAGCAAAATCAGATGAACCCCAACTCCCACCAACAGAAACAGCAAACAGACTCAATGATTTCTTCTCCACTACAGGACAAAACCTTGCCAATAAAATCCCAAGCTCAGATACCCCACCAAATGACTACCTCACTGGCAACTACCCGGACACACTGTTCCTAGCTCCGACTAACCCATACGAAGTCTCCCTTATTATCAACGCACTAAAAAACAAGGCAGGAGATTTAAATACCTTACCACCCTTTATATACAAAAAAGTGTCACAAGTACTATCACCAATCATTGCAACACTCTTTAACAAATCCATTGAATCCTCCACCTTCCCTACAGCTCTCAAAATAGCAAGGGTCACCCCGATCCATAAAAGAGGAGACCAAACAGAGTTGAATAATTATAGGCCAATATCCAATTTACACCCTCTCTCAAAAATCTTCGAAAAATTAATTCATAAACGAATCTACTCCTACCTCATCTCCCAAAACATTCTCAACCCCTGCCAATTTGGATTCAGGCCTAATAAAAATACTAATGATGCTATTATACACATGCTAGAACATATATACACTGCAATAGAGAAAAAAGAAGTCCCACTGGGGATCTTCATTGACTTACGTAAAGCTTTTGATACAGTTGACCATGACTTGCTCCACGTAAAATTGTCACACTATGGTATTAGAGGGCACTCCCTCAACTACCTCAAGCCATACCTCAGCAACAGAAGCCAATACGTGTATGCAAATGGGGCAAGCTCTTCCGCTCAACCAATTACAGTTGGTGTCCCACAGGGAAGTGTCCTTGGCCCTCTTCTCTTTCTCCTATACATAAATGACCTACCAAATGCTTCGCAATTACTCAAACCCACACTTTTTGCAGATGACACTACATACGTCTTCTCTCACCCGAGCCCAGTCACGCTAGCCAATACTGTAAACACCGAATTACAGAAAATATCTACCTGGATGAGGACTAACAAACTTACACTAAACATTGACAAAACCTACTTCATTCAGTTTGGTAACAGAGCTACAGATGTACCTCTTAACATAATGATAAACAGATCACCTATCACAAAACTCACAGAGGGAAAATTCTTAGGAATCCACCTTGATAATAGACTCAAATTTCATACACATATACAACAAATTTCTAAGAAAATTTCCAAGACTGTAGGCATACTATGGAAGATACGGTACTATGTTCCACAGTCAGCCCTCCTGGCCCTTTATCACTCTCTTATTTACCCCTATCTCACCTATGGAATTTGTGCATGGGGCTCAACAACAATTAACCATCTCAGACCACTAATTACCCAACAAAAGGCTGCAGTTAGAATGATAACAAATTCTCACTACAGGCAGCACACTCCACCAATATTCAAAACACTCAACCTACTCACCATACAAAACATCCATACTTATTACTGCACCTATTACATACATAAAACACTTAACTCTGATATTAACCCTTCCCTCAAACATCTCCTTGCCAACCTAACAGAACACATGACCATAACACAAGGCACAGATCACTCTTTGAT